GGAGTGGAAAAATCTAGTACTTTGGATGGAAGTCGATTGATTAGGTATGCTGCTGTAAGTATAGCCTCACCCCAAAAACGTTTTGGAACATTGGATGAAAACAACAGAGACCTGGCAATGTCCAGAAGGTGTCTATTCTTTCTCTCGGCTATCCCATTTTGCTGAGGRGTATCTACACAGGAACTTTGGTGTATGATTCCCTCAATTGATAGATATGAGCCAAGAYTAGAGTTAAAAAACTCTCTTCCATTGTCAGTTCTAAGTATTTGAATAGAAGTTTGAAATTGATTTTTAATCATTSTTTTGAAATTCTTAAATATTTGAGGAACTTCTGATTTATTTTTCATGAGAAAAATCCATGTGAGTCGTGTGTGATCATCTATGAAATAGATGAACCACCGAGCTCCTGTGACATTTGGAACTTGAGATGGACCCCAAACATCACTRTGGATCATAGAAAAAGGTTTCGATGCTTTGTATGGCTGAATTGGGTATGAAATGCGAGAGTGTTTTGCAAATTGACAAATTTCACACTGAAAAGAACTAGCACTTTTATTTCTGAATAAACTTGGGAAAAGTTTGGATAAGTACATAAAACTTGGGTGACCTAACCTGTAATGCAACACCATCACCAACCTCTCACTCTCACTTTTCAACTCACTAATAGACACATAAGAATTATTGTGACAAGAAATAGGTTCACTCACTCCTAGATGAGATCGTCTTACAGAATCCGGTTGAACCTCAAGATGATAGAGCCCAGCATGACTCCTAGCACTGCCAATCATCCTCCCCGAAGTCAAATCCTGAAATTCACAGACATAAGGAGAAAAATTAGCTATACAGTTAAGATCTTGGGTAATTTTATTTATGGAGAGTAGGTTGCAGTCTAGATTAGGAACATATAGAACAAATTTTAGTGTTACGTCCCTGGATACCACAACCGAACCAGTTCCTTCAACTTTTGCCAAAGAACCATCTGCAATTCTAACTGTGAGAGTTTCATTACAAGGAGAATATGTGTGGAAAACTCGCCTATCTCCTGTTATGTGATCGGAAGCACCAGAGTCTACAATCCAAGGTTTATAGTGCTCTTGTTTTACAGTCAAAGCCTTAAGAAAGTTACCTTATTGAGCTATGGAACCTAACCCAACAACTGGTGGATTTTGCTGTGATTGCAGCAGCAGCCTTCTCAGTCCATCTATTTCCTCTTTGCTAAAATTTGCAAGTTGCTCTGAACTGCCAGCCATGTTGCCTCGAATTTCCTTCTCTGCTGCTGTCTTTGGCTTCCAATCAGCAGGTTTTCGATGGAGTTTCCAGCAGATTTCTTTGGTATGACCAGGGCGGCGGCAATGTTCACACCATGGCATTCCCCCTTTGCATGGCTGCTGCTGGTTTCGGGCAGCCAAGGCTGATGACTCACCACCAGCAGCTGATTTTTCCATCCCCAGCATCAAATGGCGTTTACTCTCTTCCCTTCGGACCTCAGAGAATGCTTCACGTAAGCTTGGCAGTGGTTTTGGGCTAAATATCCTTCCTCTTACAGCATCAAGACTTGAATTTAGTCCCAAGCAAAATTTGTAGACCCGCTTATTCTCAATTATCTTCTTGTATTGTTTGAGATCAGCGGTAGTATCCCAGGAATATTTTTCAAAAGTGTCCAGTTGCTGCCAGCTTTGATGGAGTTTGTTGTAATACTCGGTTACAAATAAATCACCTTGTCGGAGATCATGCAAGATGCCCTCAATTGTCACCAGTTCGGGGGTGTTGTCTTTGTGAGAATAAGTGTCTTTTGCAGCCTCTCAGATCTCTGCAGCTGTTTCATATAGGAGAAAATTTTCTCCTATGTGTGGCTCCATGGAATTCACTAGCCAAGACATAACTTGGCTGTTATCTCTCTTCCAAATCCGATAACCAGCATCTTTTTCATCTGGTTTGGTGATATTTCCGGTGAGATAATCTTCTTTCTCCTTGCTGCAGACATGAAACATGAAGGATTGAGACCATTGGATGTAGTTTTGGCCATTCAATTTGTAGATGGTAATGGGTGTGGATGAGTAGTTTGTAAAGTCTCCGCCATTGTTGTTGAACATAACAGTTTCGACGTTTGAGGAGGAGGGTTTTGGAGTTTCAATTGAAGATTTGTTGGTGTTTGTCATGGATGGTATTTGATGTTGCTGCCGGGAATGAGATAAAGGCTAGGATGGCTGATGATTACTGCCGGAATAAGCAGTGTAGAATGCTGCCGGAAAAGCAGTAGATAGAGAACTGACCTAGGACGGCTGTGGGAAGAACAGGAGGCGTCTAGGGTTGCTCTGATACCATGTGAATAATTAGGTTTGAATGACCTATTTTTTTCTATTCCAGCAGAACATGTYTTTATATACAATTGGAGTCCTAAACGTTAGGACTTGTTTCCTATTTTAAAAGAGAAAATCTTGCCTATTCTATTCTAAATAAGGAAACAATTATATAGCTAATTACACCTGATTTGTAGCCTAATTTATAGCTAATTTACAGCAAAGAATTCCAACACCCTGTAACATGTCATGGCAGAAACCTCCAGTAGTCTCTGCATCTGAGTTGCAGTAAAACTCACCAGTTTTTTCTAGTTCATAGTTGTCAAGGTGTATAGGATTATAGGTGATGATAAATTGCCTAATTGCTTTGGCAGGGGCATAAACAATAAAATTTGACGGCCATGGTAAACCATCATCATGATAAGTAGCATTTCAAATCTACTTATTTCAATTTTTCAAACATGATATTATAATGTAACAAGCATCTAATAGGGCAATTACATTTCAATAAATTATTAGCAACTAAGTCTATAATTTCATATTAATAAAAGATTTAAGAGAAATAATAATGAAAAATGGAAAAAAAATATTTCACGAGAGAGAGAGTACCCAAAAAGAATAAGAAAATGATTTTTTATCCATCTTTTGCATTTCTTATTCTCTTCCCAAATTCTTTGGAACCTTTATGTTTCAACTGTAAAACCCTAAAACAACTAGGCAGACACTAGTCATCTAGATGGGTGGATTTGATATGTCAAGGTATTCAGGCTAGGCACCACACCAAGTGTGCTTTGTTGCCTAGGTGACACCTTGACAACTATGATTTGGCACTATTTTCTTCTTGTTCATGTACTAAATTACCTGTTCTAGAGTATCTTGCCTTTACCTATCTCTGACATACAGGCACATTTATTTGTAATTACAATACACTGATTTATGCACAGAATCTGATTATAAACTTCATAAGTACGTCTATTTAGCTGAACAACTGATCATCCAGTTGATTGTTTGCAGCAAGTAACAACCATGGAGGTAGGCCTCCCACATGCTCCAGGAAAGAAGTTCAACTGATGAATGACCATAAGTTTCTCAAAGATTCAGAGTTCTCTATGTATTCACAAGGTAATACAGCTTATGAAAGATCAGAATCATCAGTGATGCCTCTGGAGTCCAAGGATAGAACTGATGGTTGCATTCGAAGATCCACTCCAGATGCTGTTTCAGAAATTCCAATGCTTGGATCTAAACTTGATGGAAACAAAGGTCCTACTCAAGAAACTTATAGAGAAGGGTTTGTTGCATGTGGAAGTTCGTCTATGAACAATGCAGTAAAGCCGCCTGAACTAGAAGCATGTAGTCAAATTGAGCTGTCAGAGGTTGAGAGAACAGACAAGAATCAAGGTGATCTTGCTACTGCCAATGTCCCAAGATATGTGAATATTGAGCCTTCTCTTGCAATGGACTGGCTTGAGATCTCATGGGATGAGCTGGAGATAAAGGAACGCATTGGTGCTGGTACCTTTTACTGTTTGTTAATTGACTTGTACAACCATATCTTGAGCATTTCTTCCCCATTTTTATTTGCCTTGGGATGGGGAATATGTTTGGTAATTCCTTTTGTACTTATTGCATTCTTTTTTTGTAGGTTCCTTTGGGACAGTGCATCGTGCTGAATGGCATGGATCGGTTGGTATTTTATACAAAATTGTTACGATTGGTATTAGTTATTTGTTACGTTCCTGTTCTCTCCATCTCTCTCTCTCTCTCTCTCTCTCTCTCTCTCGTGTATCATTCTCTGTTTAAGTCCTCTAGAACTCAGTAGTAGAGGGATATATAGCTAACCTTGTTCCTTTGAGAAGTATACACCATTTTCTTGTGTTTCATACTTCATCAGATTCAAAATATAAGAAAAACCTATATGCCAATCTTTTTGTGGACTCTGAATTTGCAATTATTGCTAGATGATTTGGGCTTGAGATCCTACTGTTTGGGTGGGTAGCAGTTTGGTGATTTAAAGTGCTCATGCTGTACAGAGCTATGATCCATTTCTTAATCTCACACAGTTCTCCACTTGGGCATTCCAGTGAATGCTTTCTCTGGTTACTGCAAATAGGATAATACATTTAGAAAAGATAATAGGAGATATATCCCACTGGAGAATCTGAAATGCCTACTTAGTATGCGATGTGATCCTGGGCTGGATGAGTTTAGTCCTGATTTTCATTCTGTCTATCAGTCCAATGTCTTTCATACTTCTATATCTCTTTACATTTATTGTCTTCAGATACTATTGTAATGGGTATGCTTAATCATTTTGCATCTGTGAAGCTCGTTTTTTGGTCTTTTGCCTTCATTATTAATCATTTTCTGTTACTGATAACAAAAATATTTTCTTTCTATTGCTTGTTTTCATTGGAATTTCATTTCACCACATTTAAATTATATATGTTTGTTGTGATTTATTGTTATTCTTATATCACACTTCTTTCCTGAATTTTATCCAATTAAAGCTGAGCCTGGATATGCTGCCAGAAAAAGCATGTTAACATGCTTTTAACATAACTCATTAATTCCTGGTATAATTTTTCACCAATGCTTTAAAAACCTTAGCCTCAAGGAAAATTCCTCTTCGCTCAACCTTAGTCTAATGCCTGAAAGTAAGCATATTCTTAGATACATTTTGAATGTTTTTATATGTTTATATTATATATGTGTGTGTGTGTTTATTTGAATTTATGTTTTGACATATTTAAGTGTTTTGTTATGTGATCTTTTATTCATTTAAAAGATTTTCTTACATAAGGGTATGCTTCTCAGGTGCATTTATTTTAATTTTTTTTCTTAAGAATCAGTGAGGCTTATGCTTCAAGCCTTGAGGTTCATACCTTCTGCATCTAAACCTTTCTTTGCATCTTTGCAATTCTAAATACTTTGTTCTCTGCAATTTTAAATATTGGTTCTCATAACATGTAATAATGCTCGTCATGATGTAGTCTAATCATGCATACATATGCATATAAATTTGTATTTTTCTTTCCTTTCCTTCTTATCTAAAGATTGTGCTGCCATATTTTTGCTTCTGTGATTTCTATCTTCCAATATTTTGTCCATCCAACTAATTTCTGGTCGTTTGTAAAGAATTGACTGGAAACCTGCAATGCAGGATGTTGCTGTCAAGGTTCTAACTATTCAGGATTTTCATGATGATCAATTGAAGGAGTTTCTCAGGGAGGTATGCATATAATAAATATGAAAATGCAGTTACTTTTGTCAGCAGATAATCATCTTCCAAGATTTGTCCTTCTCAAATTATTTTTTTGCCACTTTAAATTTTAAACATTTGGAAACCTTCCTCATGCAAGAGCATGCTTAATGACATTAGTATCCTTCATTGTGCAATGACCACATCTTTTCAATCAGTTCCATCTACATAAGAAATCATTCTAATGATATGTACCGTCTATAAAAAAGCAGGTAGGTTCTAGTGATATGCAAGTGGTTGCTACATTCGACTTCATGTTAACTTGTTTATCACGTTTCTTCTCTGTGCATTTTACCTATGTGATTCACAATTCATATTGGGAATCCAAAGGGTTTCTATTTGAACCATATGTTTGAATCCTTTCTGTGGAAAAAAAAAACTTATTATAATTGTTAATTCTATGACTAGATCCATGAATCTTATGATTTATATGCTCTGTGCAGTTTGAATCAGTTTAATTAATAGTCATTTTTCTACTCTGTTATTTCTTTGTTTTTTTTGAACTTTTTAAGACTGTTGTTTAAAGTCCTAATTAGAAAATGATTTATTTAGATTATTCAAGGCATTTTAGAAACTGTATTGACATGTGAGTCAAAGAGCCATTAACATGTTAGGTGATTTGTTCCATTGGATTTGGGGATCTTGTCATTTTTATGCCATGTGTTATTTCATACTGAGCTAGTCTAAGATAGATGTTTGTATGGTTGCTTCACTGCCTTCAGTGACCTAATTCTTTAAATTTTTTTGTAGGTTGCAATAATGAAACGTGTCCGCCATCCAAACTTAGTTCTTTTCATGGGTGCAGTTACAAAGCGTCCACATCTTTCAATTGTGACAGAATACTTGCCTAGGTATACAATCTTAGATTCTTCTATTATGTAAGAATGGTCCCCTCGGGCACAACGTTTTGGCATTACTAGCCTCCAGTGTTCTCTAAATATTTATTGAACAGGGGTAGCCTTTACCGCCTCATACATAGGGCATCTGCTGGTGAAATCTTGGATAAAAGGAGAAGATTACGCATGGCATTGGATGTGGTCTGTGACAGTCATTGTTGTCATCATTTTTTTGACCTACGGCAAATGATCTTCATTCTTGTAATCATTTTTACTGTTTACTCTATGTAGGCTAAGGGTATCAATTATCTCCATCGTCTAAACCCTCCAATAGTTCACTGGGATCTTAAATCTCCAAATTTGCTGGTTGACAAGAACTGGACAGTTAAGGTAGGGGAGACTACACACCCGACTTAGCATAAAGTCTTTATCTTGTTGCCTGCATTTCTTTACCTTAATCTCTTGCATGCAGGTTTGTGATTTTGGGTTGTCCAGGTTTAAGGCAAGAACTTTCATACCATCAAAATCTGTTGCTGGCACGGTATGAATGTTTTACACTTTTGCTTCTTGCTCCTGGGCATTCAAAGGCATTCTTTTGATAACATCAGTTTGAAATCTTTTAGATCCTTTGGGAGCTTCTTAGGTCAATAGGTGCATTGTATATGTTTCCAGAACGGGTACTTGAATCTTGGATGTTATGGTCTGGGGCGGAGCCAGGATTTTTTCTTGGGGGTGGGGGGGCAAAAGCTAATATGCTTACTTAAACACAGATCCTAATTTTCATAGTAAAAATGCTAACAATTAAAATAAAATCTAATACATGATTCTAAATACCAAAATTCTAAAGTTAATACAAGATTTTTTCTTGTGCTTTCAAGAGCTCCTTAACTCCTAATTCAAAATTTTGTGGTTTTGTTGCTTATTAGATTAGTTCAATAGTTCTAATTTGAATATTGTAACTAAATTCTATTTTTTATTATGTTTATACATTTATTTTCATTAGATATTATCTGTTCTGTTGATTTCAAGATGATATATTGAAAATTTTCACTCATCAAAATGTCAAGTGGTTTTACGGTTTTGAATAAGTGTTTTTCTATTGTTGTTGACTACTTGATTAAGAAAAAACGCTTACTGAGTGCTTTTCTATTGTTTTTTCAGTTGTTGTTTAATGTTTTATATACTTTTCTTTTTTTAATTGGATTTCCATTTTTTTGCCTTGTTAATTACAAATTTACAAGGGAATGGCTAGACTAAGGTGGGTGGGTTGGGTAACGGTACAAGGCGGGTAGCCAAGTGCAGGCAGGTGGGCTGGGCACTGGGCAAGCCCAGGCAGGTGGGCTAGGCAGTGGGCAGGTTATAGGTAATAGTAATACAGGTTATAGGTGAGTCCACTGTTAACTGTATATAAGTATTTGGTCAACCCATAGGGGGGACCAAATCCCAACGAGCCCCCTCTCTCCCCAATATCCACAGCACAAACTAAATTTTTTTTTTCAAACCATGGCCTCCCCTGGGTCCCCCCACCCCCACCTAGCTCCGCCCCTGGTTATGGTCCAAAATTTGGTTGTTCTTGATTGGTCATTCTCTGCATTTTCTTATAAATCATCAGGAGATAGTTTTAATGTGGATATAGTGTGTTGTATCTGTTGTGGAATGGAAACCTCAAGATCTGAAACTGATTGGCAAATAGAGAAACAAAAATAAAATGAAAAACAAAGAACTCAAAGAACACACAGATTTATGTGGTTTGGCCTTAATGCCTATGTCGATGGGAGAGGGAAGAGCAGAAATCCACTATCACAGTAAACAATGGAGTACAAGTGTAAGAAAATAGCCTATCTCAAACCCTAGCGCCTTTTACACCTAAAACCCTCACACTTAACATGTCTCTGATGTCTAGCCCTAAAGGACAGGATACATTATATCATCATCATCATCCATATGCCTTATCCCAACTATATGGGATCGGCTACATGGGTCCTGTTTTGCTAATCCATTCTATTTAAAGCCATATCCATTGTTAAATTATTAGTACTTAAATCATTTCTTACTACTACTCAAATCACAAGATACATTATATACGGGACGCATATTTGAACCCTAGCCCTCCACATCCACCACAGACCTCAATGAATTTTTTGCTTCGAGTTTTTCTCCACAAACGTAGTCAGGACATGGAGCTGGCTACAACTATGAATTCAAGTCACATACACAACAGCATCTGAAATAAATGCAAATGCATGATGAATTTGTTCACTTTCCATGCATCAGTTGTTTAATCTCCTCCCATGTTCTTAACCAGATTTCTGTTTAATTTAATGATCTGCATTTTTTATCCCAATGTCAAACTAATCTTTCACGTAATAGATGCCAATTACATGTTTCCAGCAACATATAACATTGCTCTTTAATAGAGAGCTAAATGTTTTTTCACTTGCAGGTTCCAGATTTTCTTTACAGTTCTCCTAACAGAATTTAACTAACTACTTTTCCATTTCAGCCTGAGTGGATGGCTCCAGAATTTCTTCGGGGAGAGCCCTCGAATGAGAAAACTGATGTTTACAGTTTCGGAGTGGTCTTATGGGAGCTTGTCACCATGCAACAGCCTTGGAGTGGACTCAGTCCGGCACAAGTATTGTCATTGAACATTTGCTTTTTCTTTGATATTTCTGTTATTTGTATGCATGTGGCCATATTCCAGACATATGTTTTCTCCAGGACTTACACATCAAAGTTTCAGGTGGTTGGTGCTGTTGCTTTCCAGAACAGAAGGCTTGCTATCCCTCAGAGTACGTGTCCTATGTTGGCATCCCTGATGGAGTCCTGCTGGGCAGAGTAAGTGCCAAATTACGTTAAGTAGATAATATTGTTTTATTGTCATTAATAATATGGTTTCCAGTCAACATGATAGAACTCTAGGCACTCTATAAACTTGGCAAAAGAAGTCCAAACAAGCATTCATGTCTTAACCCCAAATTTGTGGCAGACTGATCTGCAATTTGGTCACCAATACATAGGTTGAATGGGCCTATATGGTATTGAAGGAATTCATTTTTCACTTGAATGACTTACAGATTATAGGCCTGCAGCAATTTGATCACCAATGTTTTAAAACTCAGAGGTGTTCTACCTGGAGGCGTGAGGTGTATTTCAGAACGGAAGAGGCATAAGCTTACCAAATGCCTCCTTTTTTTTTTTCTTTTTTTTTTCTTTTCCTTTTCCTTTTCCTTTTCCTTTTTCTTGTTTCTTTCTTTTTTATTTTCTCTTTTTTATGTAAGGCGTGTGTGAGGTGCATGAGGTATATACCACATCAACACCTCAGGGCATTTTGGGGGCACTTTCGCTTTAGGGGTGAGAAAAAAAAAACTGAAAAACCAAACCGACCAAAACTAAACTGAAAAATCGGTTAATCGAACCGGTCAGTTCAGTGTTTTAAAAAAACCAAAGGTACCGGTTTGTTTTTGGTTAACCAATATAGAAAACCGGCGGTTAACCGAACCGACTGGTATACATATATTTTTATATATTTATATATATTATATATATTTAATATTTTTATATATTATAAATTAATAAATATGCATTATATATAAATATATATTTATAATATGTGATATATTATTTATTATTTAAAATATAATATTATATATTTTTATAATATATATTGTAAAAATAAAAAACCGAAAAACGAAACTGATTAACTGGTTAACCGATTCGTTTTAGTTCGGTTTCGGTTACCGGTTTTTCAAAAACCGATAGTACCGGTTCGGTTAAAAAAAAAAAGCCCACGGTTCGGTTAGTGGGCACCCCTACCTCGTTTGCCTCTACGCGTACACCACTCCGCCTTTTAAAACACTGTTTAGTTGCATAGGGTATGAAGGAAGTCATCTTTCACTTTCGACTTACACAGATAATATGACTTGGATTGCTTGAGAAAACAAAGGCTCCATTGCCCACCCGTCTTTTCTAGTTTTTACCCTGAAGTATGTTAAAAATCGAGAGGCAAACAAGAGCATGAACGTATTACAACTCTTTTCACATTCTGTAATGGTAAATATACAACATGTTGATAGTTCTTTTTCCTTTGACAGTGATCCCAAGCAGCGCCCGCCGTTTGGAAGTATCGTTGATTCACTGAAAAAGTTACTGAAAATCCCCGCTGCAGTGGGTGCAGATGGGCCTCAATGAGGTAGGGGAGACCCCATGAAGAGCTTCACTTCGTAGCTTCGTACGGAGAGGCGGAGAGCTGCCACGTTGAAGTTTGAACTTGTTATTTATTTATTTGTTTTAGCGAATTGGTTTCGGAAGTTGAATCAATAAAGACTTTTCTTAAACGCCGGAGGCTCCTTTTCTGCACTACCAGGTACCAGCCTCCTTCCCTCGCACACTGTACGTATTTTTAAGTCTTGGTCGTGGGTGGAGATTTCGGTGCTTCTGTTTTGCTGCTTGGGAATGTGTATAGCAGCGTCTCTTTTTGTCTCCAGGGTTTTTTAATGTGGAGATGAGTCTATAGTTGCACAACATCTGTTGACGCAGATCTGAAATGTAATAATAATAATAATAATCTCTGGATAAATGCTTCACTATGCTGTAAATGTTTTTCTTGTGCTGTTGTTTAATATATAGATACTTGATGTCGTTAATGGGGGAGAGAGCATATTCCTGCACAAAGAAACCAGGAATATGCTCTTCCCCCACTTCCATTTTTTGGTAAAGATAGGATGGGGATGTCTTTATTTTTATATCATTTGTTTATTTGTATTTTTTTTTTCATTCGAACTCCCTTTTGTTTCGAATCTCCTGTAACTATAGTTACTGACTCTCAACTCTGAAGCTGAAAGCCGAATTGATTGATAAGCAGAAAAAGAAAAAAATAAAAAATTTAATTAAAGTTAATAAATGATAAAATAACATAATTTATCAAGTTAGAAAGGTAGAAGGTACACAGAAGTTTGTAAGTGATAAACTTTAGCTTTTAAGCATTAAACAAAATAATAACTACAACAATTATAGACATTTTACAAAAATGCAAAGTTTTCAAATTATTCAAACAACTAATTTAGAGTAAAAAGAAACATATGAAGAATTTGATTTATGGTCATCTAATAGATCATAAGAAAGTAAACTATTTAGTTGATTTTATCTATACAGAAAATCAATAAAAATAAAATAAATCCATTAGAAAAATAACAAAATTTGATGTTGGATTTAGAATATTAAGAAAAAAATCCCACTTGATTTACACAAGTGCAACTAAGAATTCGATTGGCCCTTTTTGCATTGAATTCTCTTGTTCTGTATATTAAGAAAGAATTTGATTGGCCCTTTTTGCATTGAATTCTCTTGTTCTACTCTTATATTAAGAAAGAATTTGATTGGCCCTTTTTGCATTGAATTCTCTTGTTCTATTGTTATATTAAGAGAAACTAATAAAACTTGATTTTTTTATTGGTTTTTTCATTTTTCCTTTTATTTGTCTCTACGGGTGGCAATTTTTCATCGAACCCATTGAACCCACCCAACCCACTCAGTATCTAGCCCACCCAATTCGTTCATTTACTTGGCGGGTTGTGTGATCAACCCATCGCTCAACCCGTCCATTTAAATGGGTTGGGTTGGGTTGGGTTGTGGATAACCATTGGGTTAACCATTTCAAACATAAGTATTAATTCCTTAGCCTTTTTTTTTTAATTTTCATTTGAATTAAATAATTTATAATTAATGTATTATTTTTTTATTAATTATTGACTAAATTTAGTTTTGTCTTGAATCAACACACTTCACCTAACATAAATCCAAATCAATTTGACCCAAGTACGGACCAGTGCAATGCGGTCTGGCCCGATCCAACATATACCTATCTGGGTTGATTCGAATCCAAAATAGCCTCGGGTGAAATGGCTTGGTACCGCTTGCTTTGCCCGGCTTGGGTCGTCCGGTCCAACTAGCATTCATATAGCTCGACCCGACCCGATACAAGTTGATCCGGGTCGACCCGAATTCGAAACAGTTTCGGGTGGGATGGTTCGGTGTCTGCGTGCTTTGCTTGGTCTAGACCATTTGGTCGACCAATATCCACACAACCCGACTTGAATCTAGACTAACCCAATTTACTTACATTGACCCGCTTCGGGTCAGTCGGTTCAGTCCCAAACCTGTGTACAAACCTGATATGGTTCGGTCCAAGTCAATCTACCATTGATTGAACCGGTCTGGTCCAACAGATCTAAACGATTCAACCACCCTTGATGTGATTAGCTCAAAGATAATCCAATTAGATAGTTCAAGTTGGTTAGACCGGTTTGAATCTAAGTGGTTAGGTCAAACCCGAAATCCGAACATAGTCAAATGACTTGTCCGCCTATGTAAAATAACATGCATGTAATGTGATTTGAACCTTCACCACTTGTGTAAATAGTAAATACAATTACCACCAAGGTAAGACCAACTTATTTGTTAAGAGAGTTTGTTTTTAGTCCATAAATATAAGATTAATGGGTTTGGGCGGGTTGGATTGGGTTAAAGCGGGTTTGGGTTGAACCCAATCCATTTAATTTTATATAACTGGGTCATTAATGGGTTGGCGGGTTCGACGGGTTGGGTTGAAGCTCAAACCAAACCCAACCCAACCCAACCCACCCAATTGTCATCGCTATTTGTCTCATATAGAGCTTTTTTTTGTGAAAAAAATATGTATTTTTGAGTTGGTCTTCACTAAATAACTATTCATACTTGAGGCTTATGCCTTTTTATGCTTAAAGCTATGCTTCACACCTTGAGATTTGAGGCTTAGGCCTCATTTTGGGAAAGGCTTAAGCCTTGAGAAAAATGTATGGACCTCACCTCAAGTTGTATTTATCACACCTCAAGGCTTAAGCCTATTAAACAATGTTACAAATTAGATAAAGTGGTATAGGCGTATGGCACTTAACCTAAACTAGACTATTCCTCTGCTCCTCGTGAGTTTCCCATGCTCTCTGTGAGTTTCAACATTCTGTGTCTATCTCTACTGCTCCCTATGAGTTTCGCACCTCTCCCCACCACGGTTTTCGTTGATCCCTTTCCCTTTGAATGGAACAAGAGGAACCTCTTCCGACTTCGAACGAGGGAAACGGAAGCTTTGAGAATCTTGAATGCCTAGAAGAGTTGTTTGCAAAAACACTATCCATCCAAACTCCTGAGGTGCCTTTCAATGAAGGTATTTTAGCGTTCAAGAAAGTAATTTCTGCCTATTAGGCAAACTGATTTGTGATAAGCCCCTAAACCTTGATGGTGTTAAGGAAGCAATCACAAACTCCTGGAATATGGTTAGAAGTGGATTCAAAATCCTGGAGATGCACAACGACATCCTGCTATTCAGATTCAACCACGAGATGGATAGAAACATTGTGTAGGACGAAAAACCTTGGTCCATTAAAAGCTAACCGTTAATTCTCAAATAACGGATGCCAGGTATTCCAGTCAGTATGATTGATTCCTCAGTCGATACCTTTTGGATTTGAATAGTGGATCTTCCAGTTGATTGTATGACGATTGCAAAGGGCATGCAGTTAATGAGCAAAGTTGGAAATCCAGTTAGGGTAGATACTAAAAATATCAATGAAATGGGTCTTTGGGAGAGATTCCTACGTGTTCAGGTTGAGATTGACATCACCAAGTCATTGCCTACTGGTGTGGTGGGAGTGAATGCAAATGGTGAGAAAGCTTGGTTTAATTTCCAATATGAGAGATTGGCTACCTTCTGCTATTTTTGTGGAGTTCTAGGTCATGAAGAAACCAGAAGCTATACTAAGTTTGACCTTCAGAAGAAATTACAAGCTAAAGGGAGAGAGTTGCTGGCGAAACAAACCATGGGTCCGGGTCCATGCTCATACGGTCCTTGGCTATTGGCGTCCCAGAGTCCCTCGCTGAACCAAATACTCCCATCTAGTATTGTTGTGATGACCTCAATTCGAGATGGACGTGATTGGAGTGGATCGAGCAACAGTGAAGCTCTTGGATCAAAAGGGATAGAAGCCAAATCATGGAATGGATAATCTCCTCACAGATTCAATGCCCAAATCCTTCCAACGCCAATGGACATTAGCCCTTACAAGTCGAGCAAAAAAAGGGCAGAAATTGAGATGATCACTAAGAAGGGGTCTTCATCGGCGATGAACGGAACTGGAGACGATGCAGGCACGGTTACACAGAGCCCAATGCAAATGCATTACAACTACCGAAATGATGTAGCTAACTCTACAACTAAGAGGGTAGGGGAAGTGCAGGACCCCCTTTTCTCAATTGACTCAGCCGTAAGAGGATGGATTAATGAAAACCCTCAAGACTTCCCCTTTTTAGGTAAAGACTTTTCCCCCAAGGAACCTCGTACAGTGGGAGGTCACCAGAAAGCAGAAACTTCTCGACTCTCAAAAGATGGAACTACGGAGGCTAGAGTTTCGAACGGAGAGAGAAAAGATCTTGACAATATAGTCTTTACCGAAATGGGGTCAGTGAATAAAGTTGAGATCTCTTCACCGTTGAAGTTGAATGACAACATCGAGAGGGTTGACATGTTCGCTAAGACATGTAAGGAAGGAAACATACAGAAGGGAAGCATTAGCAACACAAAGTTACTTGTTAAAAGAGTTTTATTTGTGGTTTCCGATATGGAAGAGGATCCGGAAGGTGCCAACAAAAGAAGCAAAAGACAGATCGATTTCTCGGATTCCAACTCTTCGGACCTTGCCAACCCGACTACTAATGTGAAAAGCCCGAGACAGGTATGGCTACCCTATAACTGGCTTGAAATGTCTCATATTTTGTATAGTGAATTTTACTTTTATTTGGCATATTACATATGTAACGAATGGCCAAGATGGATAATGGGTTCAAATAAGAAAATGCGCAAATAGACGAAATTCCATAAGGCTAGGCAGAAGGGTCAAGGCTACAGAACCTATAAACAAAAAATGGAAGAGGTGATGAGAGGCTTTGGGAGAAAGAGCATAAACAAAAAGATTAAAATTGTTAGGATTGTTGAAAGAAGTCGATTGTGGGTGGTAAAGCATGAAACTGGATATCTCGCTTTTATCCAAGCTGGGGTTCTGGTGGTTGTCCCTGAACAGCCATGGGTGGGTCAATGAGGTGTTTATCTTGGAACTGTCAAGGGTTTGGGGCCCCTTCGACAGTTCGATTCCTGAAATTTTTGCTCCAAGATCACCGTCCTAATATTGTATTTTCAATGGAAACTAAATGCTGATGGAATAAAGTTAAAAAAAGATTACGGTTAGATTACAAATGGAATAGCTAGAGGCCTGTTTCTGTGTTGGGATGCTTCAGTTCATGTTACCATTCTGGATCAATCTAAGTTTGGATTTTTATGCCAAATTGAAGATGAAAATAACAAGATTTGGAGCCTTAGTTGTGTGTACGGAGAACAAAAAAGACAAAACAGGGGTGTCTTCTTTGAATATCTTATTAGATTCCTCAGTTCAATTGACCTCCCAATAATGTGCATAGGAGACTGGAACTGCATTTTCAGCAAGGAAGATAAGAAAGGAGGTAATCCGGTATCAGGTTCTACAACCAGGGACCCAAATAAAATGATTAACTCTTTTGGCCTCACTGATTTGGGTTTTAGTGGCTATAGTTTCACTTGGACCAACAATAGGGAGGAAGACTTGGTGGAAATCAGGCTAGACAAAGCTTTTGGAAACAATGAATGGAGAATGATGCATGAGAATAGTACCCTCAAGCACCTACCCAGGATTCATTCGGATCACTGCCCCATCCTTTTGGATTCCAGTCCGTATAGAACCTGGAGCCCCAAGCCTTTCAGATTTGAGCAAGCTTGGACTACTCGCGCTGGATGTGATGAGATAGTCAAGGATACGTGGGATGAAAATATTCAAGGATCCCAGATGTATAAGCTAGCCCGGAGAGTGTCCTCTCTAAAAATAAATTAAGGAGGTGGAACAGATCTTGTTTTGGCAATATTCAGGATAAAATAAAGAAAATCATGAATTCACTGAATCAGTGTGATTCCAATAGTTTGGAAAAAAGGGAGCTTGAAAGAGAATTAATCTAGAGCTGAAACGGGAAGAAATGCTATGGGCCCAAAAAGCTAGAGTTAAATGGCTTAATTGGGGTGATAAGAATACGAAGTTCTTCCATACTTCTACCATCATTAGAAGAAATGGGAACAAAATCTGTAAGCTGCAGGACAATAATGGGAACTGGATTGAGAACCAAGAGGACCTCAGTGAGAGAGTATAGCCACTTTCTTTGACTCCTTGTACACCACTCAAAGATCTGAAGGAGGGAGAAACTTGCTGAACAAAATAACTAGAAGAAATGATGATGCTTAGAATTCCATGTTAGAAGCTGATGTTACTAATGAAGAGATAGAGGCTGCTTTTTTTCAGATGGCCCCCTCAAAAGCCCCTGGACTTAATGGTTTACCAAACCATTTTTTTCCAAAAATATTGGGAAACCATTAAAGAAAATGTCATAAAGGCAGTGAAAGAATTCTTTGCTTCGGGGTACCTACTTCGGGAGCTTAATAATACTTCCGTAACCTTAATCCCAAGGTGTAAGCATCCGAGTAACATTTCCCAATTTCGGCCAATTAGCCTTTGTAATACCTCCTATAAGCTTATAGCAAAGGTGTTAGCAAATAGGCTAAAAAAGGTGTTGGGTTCCATCATAGGGCCAAACCAAAGTGCTTTCATCACGGGCAGACAGATCTCAGACAATATTCTCATTGCACATGAGCTCTTAAATCATTTGAGATCATCAAAAAGCGAGAATAAGTTCATGGCAATTAAATTGGATATGGCTAAGGTTTATGATCGGGTTGAATGGTCCTTTTTGATGGATACTATGCATAAAATGGGCTTTGGAGAGAAGTGGAGAAACTGGGTCTATCAATGTGTTTCTTCAGTGAGCTACAAAATTCTAGTGAATGGCTCACCCAGTAGGGTGATTTACCCCACAAGAGGCATTAGGCAAAGAGATCCCTTGTCTCCTTTTCTTTTTCTGATAATTGTTGAGGTTCTCTGTTCTAATTTGGAGTGGTGTCAGCAAAATAGAAAGATCTCAGGGATAAAAATAAGTAGATATAGCCCTCCTATCTCTCATCTCTTATTGTAGACGACAATTATATTTTTGTACGAGCCTCTATCCAAGAAGGTGATGAGATTCTTAATATTCTTAGGAAGTATGAGTTGGCAGCAGGTCAAAAGGTGAATATGAACAAGTCAGAAGTTTATTTCAGTAAAACTGTTCACCCTAGAGTTCAAATAATGCTCTCCAAAGCTTTAGGCTTTAGAAGAGTAACAAACTAGGAATTTATCTTGGTCTCCTGGCTGAAATTGGCAGATCAAAAAAAGAGATTTTCTCTTTCATAAAAGAAAGGGCTATTAAGAAGACCCAAGGATGGCATGAACAATTGTTGTCCAAGTCTGGTAAGGAAATCCTTATCAAAGCAGTTATTTCAGCTATTCCTGTGTATGTTATGTCATGCTTCCTATTACCCCAATCTTTGTGTGATGAGTTGACTGAAACTATGAGAAAATTCTGGTGGGGAGAGAGAAATAGTAAAAACAAAATTCACTGGATGAATTGGGAACTTCTTTGCAAACCCAAACAAGGAGGACTGGAGTTCAGGGATCCGAAAGCATTCAATCTAGCTCTCCTTGCAAAACAGGCCTGGAGAGTGCTAACAAAACTTAACTCCCTCTTGAACCAAGTGCTCTTTGGAAAATATTGCAGAAACAATACTTTCCTACAATCCAAACCTCGTAGCAAGTGTTCTTGGGGGTGGAGAAGCCTCATGGCTGGCAAAGAAGTTCTACTGAAAGGCCTTTTTATGCAAGTTGGTAATGGGGAGGACATAAATTTCTAGGATGAGCCATGGCTTCCTAATAGCCACAATCACAAAGTATCTTGTGACAAACCTCTAAATTGTCCCTTCAGTAGAGTTTGGGAGGTAATTGATCCAACCTCTAAAACTTGGAATGTTAGACTTCTAGATGAGTGGCTTCCTAATAATATAGTCAATGATGTCAAGGAAATTTGCATTCCTTAAGGGGATGTTAAAGATGAGTACATTTGGAAGTGGGAGAGAAATGGCTTCTTTTCAGTAAGAACTGCTTATCATACTACAAAAGCATTGGTTGATAACAAGAGGAATATAGTCGGTACAAGCGGGGCAAACCAAAAAGGCCAAATGCTCTGGAAAGAAATTCAGGGACTACCAGTCATTCCTAGAGCTAAACACTTTTTATGGAGGGATGTCCATGGAAAAATTCCTATAAACTTAAACCTCTGGAAACATGGAGTAATCCCCTCCAACCTTTGCTCCCTCTGTCAGTCACATATAGACATAGTTGAGCATTCACTTCTATGGTGTAACCTGTCCAGAGCTTGCTGGTTTGGATCCCAACTGGGTTGTAGGCTCTCAGAGACTGATAAAGGAACCTTTAGTGATTGGTTGATGATTTTATTAGATGAGCCTAATATGTCCAAAAAAGATAGAAAGGAACTTCTAAGCTCCATTGCTCTGTTAGTCTGAGCCATCTGGAAATCAAAAAAATTGATGAAATTTAAGGATATAGTACAAACGCCTGGTTCTGTACTCTTACTACCATTGTTTGTGCAGGGACCTCATGCCCCAACTCCCAGTCCAACGAGAGGAAACTCCTTACAGTAAGCAAAGACAGGTGGCTGGCCCTGCTCAAGAGAACCTCAACTGTTTTGCAAAGATCTTTGTGGATAGGGCGTTTTTTTAAGGTTTTTTTGCTGGTATTGGTTCTCTGATTCTAGGTACTGATAATAGTTTCATAGCTGTTGCGACTGTGACTTGCCTGCCTTGCTCTGCTATATTCTCTGAAGCTCTAGCTGTTCCTGAAGGTTTCCGTCTTGCAAAATCATTGGATTGTACCAGAGTGTGTCTCTTCTCGGATTGTAAGCTTTTAATTGACGGACTTACAGGGTCTACTACTGGACTCCCTTTCTATCTGAAACCTGTCTTGCATGATATTACTATGAATTCTAGGAGTTTTGAACGTTGTGTTTACGTATATTCATAGGTCTTGTAATGTTCTAGCCCATAAACTGGCTAGTCTATTGTGCCCAGCTAGAGGTGTATGGAGAGGTCTCCTTCCTCCCTTTTTGTCCCTCTGGTGGAATGGTGATATCTCTTTTGTAAACTCTTTCTTATTTGACCAGCATCAATGAAGCTTAATTCATTTAGTACAAAAAAAAAAAAAAAAGACTGTTCATCCATTTGAGTTGGTTCTCCCTGCAACTGAAACTAGAATAATCTTTCCTTGAGGCATAAACAAGATGGGCCGTTTATGTAGAAACCTAATTTACTCGATTTGAATACCCTTATTAAATCAGTGCTTTAAAAACCTATCTAGAGGCATAACCATTTTGCTCTGGGCTACGAATCAACAGTTCAACCATCGAGGATGGGTGGGTTAGAAAATATATATTATATTATATAGAATAAATAATATATAATTATATCTTAGGTTTCATTTATATTTTTATTTCAGTTTTAAATTTTTAATAAATAAAAAAGATAAAAAATGGCATTTGAGGGAAAAAAGGCATTTTTCAAAAATTATAATGGGCGAAGACACCTTTAACACTTTGGACGCATAGGTCAGGATGATCAATTTTACTTTTCATATATTTAAACACCCTAATTTTATATGGTGTAATTTGTAAATTGTAATCAGGGACCCAGTCAAGCAGGTCAATTATTCAATCAGGGTGTGACCTAAGGATTAAAGTATTGGTACGATACATATCCATGTTCACTAACACAGGATATGTTACAATTCTATGTGTATCCTGCCAGTTGTGAATATGACATATTCAAATCTTGATTTAAGATTTAATTTTTCTCAAAAATTTAATAAGAACTAAAAATTCTGAAATTAATTAATTTATTTTAAATTGTTTATGTATTTTATCTTACATATAAATTATATATTAAAAATGAAAACATATTTATTATTTGAATAATAGAGTTATTATGTATATAAAAGTACTAAATAAATAAATAAATATTCTAAAACATTAATAACAATTGAAAATTATAATTATAAAAACTGAACTAAATAATTTAAGAGTTAATTTCCCCAAAAATTTTATTAAAAACTGAAAACTATAAAAATAATTTATTTTATCTACTTTAAATGATTTATATGTTATTTTAAAATTATATGTAAAATAAACAATTGTATTTTAAAAATAAAATATATTTATTATTTTAAAAAATAGAGATTATTTATATAAAAATACTAAATAAAAATTTTCCAAAATATAATAAAAAATGAAATTTATAATTATAAAAACTAAAATAGAGTGCTAATTATTGTATGCTATGTACATCTTCTAGAGTTCTAGTATTGTTTATTGTATTTATACCTCACTAAAGCTCAATTTGGAAGGAGTACAAATACAAATTTGTAGAGTACAAAACCTTGCATTTTATATTATTTTGTATACATTTGTACTGTACATATTTGTATTTGTACTCTTTCTAAACTAAGCTTAAAGTGTGCATTTCATGTATTTATATCTCATTCATAGTTAATTTAACTTTACATTTAGTATTATTAATATATTTATGTTATTTGTTTGTATTTCCTTGGCGTATTCAAGCATTTTCATATCTTTCATCCATATCCATGTCTTTCTAAAGCATATCCATATCTATATCTATATCTACGATGTCTGATACGATACTAATACTGATAGTTTAATCCTTGATGCAACCAAATCAACAATTTCTCACCAAATTTCAGATTTGGGATATACCCAAACTGGAATTGACATCCAATGAAAGATTCGATTGTCTAAGTCAGTGGCGGAAACTAGCATCAGTGACTTTGTCTATAAAGGGTGTGAGATAATTATTGGGCTTAATTGGAGCAATGGTCCAGCTTTGTCTATACAGGCCTAACTAAGTGTTTTACACATCCTCCAAACTAGTAAAATTTGGATGGATACCATCCTTACGTTGTTACAAAAACTTCAAGTGTTTCAATTGTTCTGTATATAGATTTTACATGTGAATAATTTTTTACATTGGTTTTTATTTTGTCTCTTCAGGGTCTGATCGTTTTTTGGATTCTGAGAGGAAATTTTATGTTCTTTTTTCAGATTTATGTAGGTTGATAAAAATTTTATTTTCTCTGAGTATCGGGTATCACTTCCCGGGAAAGTGATACCCATCTCCTAGGTGAACAAGTAAATTTTCCACTTGAGGGGAAAATTGTCAACATTTAGATGGGATAAAATTGTCCCTTTTAATAATGGTTTTTTATGGTTAAAATAGTCATTCTTTTATTTACCTAAGAAATAAAAGAACATGGGTTAATACACTTACCTGCACAATTCAGGTAAGTGCAATTACCCGGATAAATAACTTACCGAAAAGTGAACGAGGATCAATATTTTAAAACTTGGCCCGGATCCAATGGTCAGACTATGAAAATGGGAACCGGTAGCTTTTCTGGGTCCCGATCAAATGATGATTTCAGTGGATTGGATGGACAAACCATCAAGTTAACCTGTAAAACCCCTAGAAAGCATTCAGATTTTTGCTCTGATCCGAGTCTTAAAACACTGGTTCATTTTTTTTTTTTTGGCACAACAAAAAACAGCTTTCATTCAAACGGGAAGAGTTACAGGAAATCTCTGTGATTGGTTGATTACATAACAAAGTTTTCAACCAATCTGGGATTTGATCATGAAATTCCATATTCTGTTTGTGTAGTCTGGATTTATTAACCACATTGTGGGCTATGGAGTTCTTTTCCCATGAAATATATACTACTTCACAGATTGTAAAGAGTTTCCTGAGATGCAAAACTTCTTCATATAAGGCCTCTTTATCCCATTTGATTTATCTATTCATGCATTGTATATCACTTGTCGAGCGTCCATAAAGACTTGAACTCTGCTGATCCCAAGCTCATGAGCTCGTCTTAAAGCATTCAGTATGTACTGCTTATTGTGCTTTCATGCTGATCCAACTGCTGTAATCAGCCTCCTCTGCTAAGGGTGTCAATGGACCGGTTTTGGATTGGACCCCATCCGGTCCAAAATCAATTTGAACAAATTGGATGGACCAATAAGACATATTGGATTAGATCAATCCAGTCTAAAATATTTATTAGATTGGATTGGACCTGGTCCACCTATAATAAATGTATATTGGATTGGGTTGGATTAAGCTAATATCTGATCCATTAATATAAGATAAGAATATAGGTGTCAATGGACCGGGTTTGAGTTGAAACCAATCTAAGTTAAAACGAAATTGAATAGATTGAACAGTCTTGACGTTGAATTGAATTAATACAAAATGGTCCAAAATATTCATTAGATTGAATTGGGCTTGATCCATTTGTAATGATTTCACATTAAACTGGATCAGATTGCACCAAATCCAGTCCTATTGACCCTGCTATTCTCTGGTGATACAATGACAAAGCCGGTTGCTGCTTCAGTTTGATTTACAAATGAACCATCTGTGTAAATAGTGCAGCAATTACTTGCTATATACATTGGTGTAGCTCAGTATTATCTTGTGGATCTGATTGATTAGTTGTTGGATAATCATAGGTAGGGGTGTCAATGGACTGGTTTTGGTTTGGATCAAATCTGATCCAAACCTTATTAAATCGGATTTGGACAGTCTATTATAATTATTGGATCGGGTCAATCCAAAATAAATTGGTTCATATTTTTATTGGTTTGAATTGGACCTAAATCAAATTTCCAATAATCTGATCATGAGGCCAAACCCTTTTCCAATTTGAGATCAATCAAAACTAAAGATAGCATAAAATTATTTTTATGAAAGTACCTTTACTAAAGCACTTTAAAGAAAACACTTTTACAAAAGCACTTTTATAAAGTAATTTTATGAAAAGTATTTTTACAAAAGCACTTTTATAAAAAATACTACTATGAAAGTATTTTTACAAAAATACTTTTATGAAAGCACTTTTAAAGAAATAATTTTATAAAAGCATTTTTACAGAAATAATTTTATAAAAACACTTTTACAAAAGTACTTTTACGAATCGGGTCTAATCCATTAATAAGTAAGTAAGACTCTTGGACTGAATCGGATGGGACCAAATCCAGTCCAATTGACACCTTCTAGGATTTCTCCCAACTCCACACTTGATGCTTCCATAAGTTCTGTGCCGTTTAGACTTGGGCACAGTGCAATTTTGACGTTTTAATGATGCAGGCTGCCGCCGGCCAGTTCAAACTAAAGCCACTTTGCGACGTTCGAGAGAATATTAATTATTAAGCCCAAGTGTGGCCGTGTGGGAATATGGAAAATGTTCCTCTTTCCATTGGCCCATCACCACGACTCCTTGACTTGCCCAAATTTTAAATAAATTAAAGCGTCTACTCCTGTAACCCACCCAGTCCATAGTTTTTCTTTTTATCTTTTCCTATTAATTTCCCAGGTGCTCAGAGTATTTCATTTCCAGTTAATATGGAGGAAAATGCAATCTCCAATTGAGCATATACGGTTTAATCTTAGCAACCCAGAAGGCAATTTCATCACACCGACATTAGTAAGAAATCTAGAGATAGAGAGCACATATGTGGCCAATGATCACAAATAGACCTTTTCTTGGCATCATTTTATTACTAACTCATTATATTATACTTGGGAAGAATCATTATTTAAGACCCATTCATATATAAGCCCACATCAGAGTCTTAAATGGAACAAGAGTATGAACAGCCCTACACCAGTGTCACATTTGAAATTTATTTTTTCAGATTACGTCTGATGTTTGGTTATATGTTTTATGTTTTTTTTTTTTTAAATATTTTCTCAGACCACACCTTGAAAATCAGAAGGTGTGGAACAAAAATCTTGTTTTAAGCTGAACCCTTATCTTTCATTTATCAGCAATTTCTAAGCCTAGATCACGGTGTCAAACTGCATATCAAAAATATCTCCCCATGAATTTAACAGAGTACAGATGATTTGTAGCTGAATATTGTGTTATTAAGCTGTTTACACTTTACACAATTTTTCCTTTTGTTTCTGTTTATGTGCTCTTGTTTGGTCTCTCTCAATGCTCTTCTTATCGAAAATAATCGTTATTACAACGTTTTTTCTTTCCTTACAAGCTGGGAGATGTTCCCAAATCATGGAGGGGATGAACTGTGGGGGCACCCCACCCACAGTCTATCAATTGGGATCTCCTGCCAACAATATACATTCCAACCCCTACCAACTTGATCCAACACACATCACACCATGAGACCGGGACCCACCATAAAAGTGGGACAGACGTGCCCAATTGCCCATCAGTCATCACCTTGTGCATTGGGAGCCCATATCACAACGAGACTCTCCTCCTGTGATGTGGCAATTTCAGAAATCAGAACAAATGAAAACAAAAAACAATCTGTTGTGGAACGCTCTAACGGAACGTTGACGAAACTTTGCAGAATGCAACTATTAGTCTTTAGTTAAAGTCACTGGCAATTTTGTACGCAAGCCACAGAGCCATATGTCATCATAACCAGTTGAATCCGACATCTAAATCAGATTAAAGGCAAAACCCACTTAACCACCGAAACCATAGAGATAGAGCCACTCCAGTTTAGTCCATCCATGATCCATTCATTCTCCAGAGTATTGTCCAAGGAAACAATTTACAAAAGCAATGGACAGACGGACGGCCAAAAGCTAAAGACCAGAATGAGAATGTATGGTATAGAGTGTGGACAAAACCTCTTGAATGTATGGTGACTCGTGATTTCATAAAAAGCAGGTTGGCCTGTTGGATGGTAGCGAATAGCGCTCACATTTCATATTTCTTTTCCCATTTGTGAAAGTCAGTGAGGACTATTGAGGTACATTTTAAAGAAAGCGGAACTGTGAGTGTGGAGACTGGAGAGTGGGGACTCCCCAAAAGGAAAATTAAAAAAAAAAAAAAAACAGAAAACCCAGAAAAACAAAAAGGAGCCCCACCCAGATTCACATTTCAAAACTTAATGACTCTGTCCTGTTGTAATTCAAAAGGCACCAACCTCGAATAAAAAAGAACTTGTCTGTGACTGTGAGCAATAAGCATGCATGCAGTCGGCACATTTTGTAAATTTCCACACCTCACAGACTAAGAGTGAGAGGGGAAAGCACTTGGGGCCTCGGGAGTGATAAAGAGTGAAACTACAAACGTCTGGTCAGTAGGAGGAAGATGCCACATTCCACGGCTGCTGACTAACTACAGCTTGGGCTTGAGCTTGGAGTTGGGGAGGATTGTCAGTGACGTTGAAGTGACCATTTATGTCGATGGGTGCACTCAGCCCATACAAAAATTTCCGGCCACACGGTGGTGGTGGTGGTGGTGGCAGCAATGCCAATGGTGAAGTAGATGTGGAGGAATCTAGAGAACCGCCTGTGCCAGAGTGAAGGTGGTGGAGATTCTGATGATAGAGACCTGCCGGTGCATCCACTGGGATAGCACATTGAGCAGCAGGAACAATGCTCATGGAGCTTATACTGCTGCTACTACTGCTGCTCTGAGGCTGCCTATCATGGAGGTTACGGTCCAAGGATTGATCTGCTGAGGTTTCAAAGGAGAGCTTCAGGCGTTTGGCTGCAGCCCCAATGGGGAGGGCGCTGTTGGTAATGGCTTCTATATCGTATCTGCTCATCTCAAAGTTGGTCACAGCGTTAACCCCTCTGAACTTAATTGCTGCTATATCATATGCTTCCGCTGCTTCCTCCTCTGTGCCTGATCATGCATTCAACAACCCAGTGAGTAGTCTAGTCTGGTGAATGTAGAGACCAAAAACCCAGAGAAGATGGCATGGACCATTGGATTAAACACTTGGATAGAGATATAAGAGAAATAATCACCAAATGTGCCATGACAAGAATGAATACCCGATCAAAAGGGAAGTAAAATAAAAATAAATAATAATCACCAAATGTGCCAAGATAGAGATCTTTGTTTCCTGCTACCCGTCCAATCCTGGCTTGCCATCGCCCTTGTTGGTGATGCCTGCAGAATAGGACAAGTTTAGATGATAGAATTGCAAACAGACCAAACAGACAGTTTAATATAATTGAGATTTTGGTCTTTTACCTTGTCACACCTCTGTAAATTGAGGCTCCCCTTGAAAAACCACTGCTTTTCCTGAAAGTTGTAGTAAGAATCATGAATTGAGAAATACTTGTAAACCATATACCCTAAACATCAAAACAGGTAGAGAACGGGTAAACCTTCTGAGTGAAGCAATGAACTCTTGTCTCGACATATTCTTCATCTCCTCCAATTCTTTGGTATAATCAGAAACCTGAAAAAGATTTGAGAGGGAAAGAGGAAACTTTGTCAACTAAACTTGCTCAAATTTCGCCATCTAATCAAATATAAGAACGGCAATGTAAATACCGGGAAATTGATGGTGGCGGTGGGACCCCAGTATTTCAGAGCAGCGAGATCATAAGCCCGGGCTGCTTTTTCTTCCCTGTCATATCCACCTGATCATAGAACAACGCAGTTCTAGTCATCATTGGCATCATCGTCAATTAATATAAGAGAAATTATGCACTCTTTTATTCACGTATACAGCCTGTTTTAATGATTTTTCACAGAATTTGAACCCAGCAAATCATGTATTATATAATGGATTCTTTTCCTGCTGCTCAGCATTTGTTAAGAAGGACAAATAATGTGGTGATTTTAATATAAAATCCCGAAATCATCTTATTCCGATGCTTAACAAGCGGCTGTCTTATTCTTGGATTGCAGAAGCGGAGCTGGACCTGAACTCCTGTCTCAATCCAACAGAAATGAAATAAGCATCCCCAGAATCATTTCGAAGGGGAAAAAAAACTTAGATTATTTCAAACCCCACAACAGAAAAAGTGGACCCGAATAGGAGATTCAGGGACTAGACAATTCCAGTTTCGTCGTCAAAATCCAATTCATACCAATCTGTTTTTTTTTTTTTTGGCAAATAATTCATACAACCAATCCAAACGCAGCACAACAACCTAGACGGTCACGGAAATGCCTCATAGCTTGTTGCACTTCTTAATCCAACAAAAGATTTTCCACTTCTGCAATATCTTTGGCTTCCTTTCCTTTTATCTTTTTCCAGGATTTGGGGGGAAAGGAATTGACAAAAGAGAAAGCCAGACTTACCCAAATACACTGTTAAATCGAATCCAACGTTGAGTGACAGCGAGATCCCATGTTACATGCAAAAAAGAAGAAAGCCAGAATGGAGACACATCAGTCAAAATAATGGTCAAAAATTTCTACTCCCACTTCCTTTTCTGTCCCCTTCATATTAGTATAAAAAATGAGGGTGAAAACAACAGAAAAATAGAAAAAGAAGAGATCGAAAGAAAAGGAAATACAAAGGACAAATTTCAACCCACCTGAACAAATTTTTCCATATTCTAGTTTCCTTTTTTGACAAACAGAAACGACGAAGAAAATTTTTTTACCCGGGACAGAGGGGGAGAGAGAGAGAGATTTTAGGCATTTCAGTGAGTGTCGAATGACATTTAAATACGGTCAAAGACGCTTCGCATCGACATGACAAGCGACTACCATGTTAATTATACAATAACTCCCCTCCGCTTTACAGCAATTGGCAACAGGAATCCCTTTTCGACTGTTGCAGGAAAATGGTTATTTATTATCCTGCCTGGTTCTAGCTGTTGGCAATTCATATCATCTATTTGCTGCATCTACCGCGATAAAGATCATTCAACAACCCCGATAAGGCAAAGATCATAATATAAACCTTGAAACCAGGAATCAGAATCATAACCAGACATAGTTATTATGCATGGATGGTTAATGCATAGAAAAGCCAGGATAAAAACTCCACTAATGATAGCTTCTAGTGCAGCAGACTGTAGAGAGAGAGAGAGAGCAGGGTTCAGACGTTTGATGTCTGGTATTCGGATGCTGTCATATCAAATATTTCCGACAGAAAATTTAGGGAGATTTCCTTGTCATCAAACGAGCAAGCTACCCCCGTTCACCCCAGGAGAGAGAGAGAGAGAGAGAGATAGAGAGAGAGAGAGAGAGAGAGAAGGGAGAGTTGCAGAAGTAGAACAGAGAGGAAAGTTTACGTCGGTCTCGTCAAACATCACATTCACATAGAATGGCGGCATATGAAACAAACAGCACAAATGAAAGAACCTGTACCTGTGACGC